GGTCAATTAAAAAGTAATGTTTCCTATTTTTATTCACTTCAAGTTTATCTAATCATTATTATCAATAATCTCGCAATTTATGACATAAAATAGTTCACCAAGTGCAACCGCATCACAACCTAGCTTGTTAAGATGTCAAAAGGGTTGACTTTATGCGTCTAGTGAAAGCAGCTCAAAACATGAGCCTCAATAATGCAAAATAAACTGATGATTCAAATCAAACTTGAATCAGCTAACGAGGACAGTGCCTTGGCTTGTACAATTTTTCAAAGTTTTTGGGCTTATCTTGTAGAGGACGAAAAATGATGAATCACGTATTTTGACTTTTTGCTAGGGCGCTGTTAGTGGTTTTTAGGCATTTACAAGTAAGGGTAGTGATGCAGCTCAACATGGCCTACCGAATGCACCAATCCCAATCATATCGGTAACTGGAATCTCATTTACTTCCCTTGCTAAGTGAGTGTTGACTGGGTTTACACATGAGCTCAAGGAGAGACTTTTCTAGTCTTTGTTCATTTGGTCCAGTTGAATAAAAAAATAATTTTTCATTTGGACTATTCATTAGGCTCAGTGTTGGTTAATGTTGAATGAAAAAGTCAATATAAATCAATTATTATGACAATCATTATTTATAAATGAGAAAACAATACTCTCAACTGTTCCACTGAGCAATGGCAATATAAAATTCCAATAGTTAACATGGAATTTTTGTTGATAACAAATATCCTTCTTTCCTTGAATAACTTGCTCATAATCGTTTTTAGCTTATGCCTTAATAACTCTTTTCCTGACGTCAAATCTTTAATCAATAGACTGGCCGGTATTGAAGTGAAAAAAATACACAAAAACGAGACAAATTGATGAATGATGATAATTTCAAGTCAAATAATCGACCATTTTTACCGTCAAATATGATAATTATCAACTCTGTCAACTGTGATTATCACATTGAGTTGGACAAGAAATCAAAATATAAGTTGATACTTTGCCATGAAAATAGTATGAAAACATGGAGAAAACAGAGCAAAAGAAGAAGAAGAAAAAAGATGAAAAGAGAAAAATTGATTTTCTCTGTTCAGTCATGGTTAACCAACTTATTTACTTTTAGATTCAATTCAATTCTCATTTATCGATTTACCCATTTAATAATGGCAGTAAACGGCGTAAAGTTTTACAATAATAATCATTATTAGAATCAGTTGAGTTTAGTTGAAAATTCAGTTGATCAGTAGATAAACAAGAAGTAAAGAAAGCAAGACTGAATGAAAAGAGAAATTCCTATTTTCTACTTTTCCTCATTACTCAACCAACAGAATCGATAGTCTAATAACAAGTGAACTTGAACCAGTTTCAACCAGTAAAATTGTGCTCATAATGGTCGCAAGATTTATTGGATAACATTGCCTCGGGCTGCATCTAAATGATACCAATAGTTGGTGTGCAGTTGCTGTGCGCAAACAAAAGTCTAATCATTTAGTCAACGAAGTTGAATAAACTCAATAAATCTTGTTAGACCAACAAATTAGTTTCACTTTCAAAAGAAGAAAAATTTCAAAGCTTAAATCCAAATCGTTTTTCATGAAAAATTGCAAAATGGAGAGATTAACTTGTCCACTTCGAAACCATATTCAGTCAATATTGGAACAAGATTTAAATTTTGATGACCATTTAATCTTGATCGCCATTCACCTTGACTTGTAATCTCAACCGTCCTTCACCGAGGTCAAGCGAAACTTGAAACCCAATAATTGTCTAATTGAATTTTGTCTCAACTTTTCTTCTTTCCATTTCTCGATGAAATGAACATTCCCATGAAAAATAGTCGATCCAATAACACAGCTGTCATTAGATAACTTTCTTCTTCCAACCCATCATCATGATGATCGCCTTGAATAGGCTTGAATTGTAACTGAGCAAGGGAAGGAAATGGGTTGATTGGTAAAGTCTGGTAAAGATGGAACAAGAAAAGTGAAGGCAAAAAAAAGAGAAGAAAAGTGATGAATTTTGCTTCACTGGTTTTGGGTTTCTCAATATTATCATCATTAATGATAACATTTGATGGCGATTAAAGTTGATCACAAATTGATGAAAATATGTTGTTCATTGGCGAATTTTTTATCAAAATTTTTGGGTCAACTTTTTTTTCGGGTTAAACATTGAAGGAGAAATTGTTATTCTCAAAATAATTAATCTTGCACTATTAATACAAATGATTATAATCACAGTTATACTTTTCATGTTTGCTCATATCAAATTAAAGATTAATTTTTGTTTCACTTGGTTTCTAGTTCATATATCATGTAACATGATGATTACTCCATGACAACTGTTATACAGTTGCATGTATATTGAGATGCTTGTTAAGCTCAAGGTGTTTGTTGTAAGAAACTGTATTAACAGTTGCAAGATATTACAAGCTCTAAATGAATGCTCAAATCTAATTACCAAATGTTCACCTGATGATGATGTTTATGATAATTTTGATTCCATTTCATTCCATCACTTGAATGCCTGTTATTCATTCACAAATTATCATCTAACTGTTTATTAAGTTATGAGGAGAAAAAAAATGTTTTCACTTTTCACTGTTTCCATCATTTTTACCGTTTCATATTCATCGAATCAACATTATCCAAACATTTTTGTTCAACCTTTATTTCCATCGAATTATTCAATTTCAGAATTTCGTTTTTTCTCAGTTTTTTGTTTCTCATTAAAAGTGTATTCGAAATAAAAATGGTCGAAAATTTTGGAAAATTCTGAGTTTTTCCAAGCCATTTTTACTCTTCGATTTTATTCTTGTTGTGATTGCAAGTTATGAGTTTTTAGGTGATGGCCAAGTCAACAGGGTAAAGCTGAACATTTCATGGAAAAGGTAATAATCAAAGTTATTGCATTTGACTTGAAGCTGTTTGGAAATTGAATCAGAAAACATGAAAATTTGATTCCACATATGCTTAGGTTGAGTTGAAAATCAATGAAAAAACAATGAATATAAAAAAGTAAAATTTCAATGTTCGAATGTTTTTGAACCAAAATTTTCAAATAATCTATTTGGTTGAATTTCTCAATTTCATGATTCATATTGATTTCCAACTCGAAATGCAAAATATCATGAAAAGCTCAATTTTCTAAATTCTGAAAGTTCGTTCAGAAGTTTCAATCTTTCGACTTTTTTCATTTCGATTTCAACCGAAATTCAAAGTAAATTGTAAATGAAAGTCAGCAGAAAATTCATTTGAAATGAGAGCTTAAAATAGATAATTGATTACAGCTTCGAATCATTTAGCAATTTTAAAATCTATTTCAATCTTTTCCATGTTTGGTCAAATGAGTTCATTTACATATCACTTTATTTGCTCTTTACCTGAGTAAACATTAACTTGTAAATAATGTAAAATTTTGCCTGACTTTTCATTTTTTTCATTGTTTGTCTAACAAGATTTAATGTTGCATCAACGGTTATCTTTATTACTTGGTAATCTTGTAAACATGTTGACTTATTGATTTATATCATGATTTAAATGGAGAAGCAAATTGTATCATTTGCTTTTGTGGTTCCATTAGACGAATCGTAACTCGAATCAATGTGTTTTTTCAGTTAAAAGACGTCAACAATGAGAATAATTGTTTGCTTAAAGGTAACCAAGCATAGACCATTTAACAATGCAAACTGAATGGAAACCCTTAAGGTATGATCTTGTCATAAGTTGAGATTTGATAAATGATGAACCAGATCGAAGTTTTTCTTAAAGTCGTTCTTTTACTTTTGTTTACTTTTGAAGTGAATTTTTCGAAAAATTGATTTTCGTTTCGAACTTTTTTCAAACATTTAAAAATTTTGGCAAATCTTTCCATCAACTGAATGATAATTAATTTCCACATTGAATCGACATTGATGCACATGAATATTGATCAGATATTTTGTTGAAACGCCCACAGCAAATCGAGAAAATGAAATTTAAAGTTGAAGAGATTTTCAAAATTTCTGCCTTCATTTTGACAGAATTTCATTTTCATCTCAGAATTTGTTGAGAATTGAATGCAAAACAAGATTTTCTCATTGAGATTAAGAATGTTGAACTAAAAGGTTTGTGTTCATGATGTTCATTGATGCAATATTAAAAGGTTTGCATGTTGCTCATGATTTGCTATTCTTCAATCGGAAAGGCTGAAATGATGTTAAGTCAAAACACAAATAATGGATTAGTAGAAGAGCAGATTTATCTCACCTTTCCATTTGGCCTTTTCTACAGATGATTTTTTCGAAAAGAAAGAACTGAATAGAAAAGTTCTCATGTAAGCTGAAACTATCCGAACATTATCTGAGCAAGAATTTTGGTCAAAAAACGTTCAATTCCATCGACTAATTGAAAGTCTTTTAAGCACATTGGCTCTTTTAGAGTTAACAGTTAATCAAGTCAACGATTGTTGAGCTTTTCAGATAAATAATTCCATTCATGTTCCACAAAAATTCTGGAGGCTATTGAAGCTATCTGTTGCTAATTAACTGATAAAAAGTTACAGCAAATTAGCGATATGAGACATTTTTTTCTCTGATTTATCAATTCAAATAAATTGAGATTTAATGAGTTTTTTTTTCGTTTCGATTCCAAAATTATTTATTCTACAATCATCAATCTTGCTTTAATCAAAAGCTCATCTTGAGAATTGAATTAACAAGAAAAGAATCACAAACGATCATGAAATGAAAATGATAACTCTTTTAATCCAATAAATGGAGGCATTAATTGAATAATTTTGTCCCGTTGTTTCACTTTTTGGCAAATAATGTCCATTAATTTGTTGTCGATAAAAATGATGGAGAAAATTTTTCCACTTTCGTTGGATGGAGAAAATTGAGAGAAAAATGATTTTCTCTTCATACATGATTGAATTTGCAACATTTCATCTCCATTTATTACTCCCTTTCAATCAATTGATTTCAATAACAATTGAACTAATCAGCAACTTTTCTCTTTGCCCTCAACTTTGCTCAGAAATTTCCATTAACAAATGGCTCGGAAACGCTATCAGCTTGGACCAATCCAGATATTCCTATTTACACTCGTTTCTACCTTTTCAATCTAACAAATGTTGATGATTTCATTTCCGGAGAAAAGGCAATCTTTACTGAAATGGGTCCATACACCTTTAGGCAGGTTCGGAGGAATGTTATTCACACATGGAATTCAGATGAAACTCTGTTTGACTATGAAACAATTCGAAGTTACAACTTTGTTCCACATTTGTCGGCAGGAAATCTTGATGATACATTAACGTTAATCAATTTCCCTGTAGTGGTGAGTAAAGAGTCTTGGGACGAAAATAATGTCTCCAAATGAGCCACTTGAATTTCGTCAACCTGTAAATGGAAAAAGTTTTTTTTTCGAATTTCCATTTTTCTCATTTTCCAATTTTGAGAACATTTCTTTCTTCGAAAATCACTTTTGTCCAAAAATTTTTACACATTTGTTTATCAGTATAAGGCTATGTTTATTTGATGGACACTGATATGAATGATTCATGAAAGATTATAATGATTGGAGAAGAAAAAGGTTTCTCTGAATGCTCTTTATCATTCAATAATCATGCAAATTGTTCTCATCTATTGAACCCATGAAAGCAAGGAATACACAAAATTCTTGGTTATTGGAATATTTATTAACAGCATTATAACTTGACCTTTTGGGTTTTGTTTTTTTTCTCGTTTTCCTTTCAGACAATTGCGAAAACGATTGCCGAGAAAGCTCCAATGTTCAAGAAGACTGCTGGTTCCATCATCAAGAAACATGGCGGAGGCTTGTTTCTTAATCTGACAGTGGGTCAAGTCCTTTTCGATGGTTTCGAAGTTCCATTTGTGACTAAATTATCAACCATTTCTCGAAGCTTGAAAATGCCTATTCCAGATAAGTTTGGCATCATGTATGGAGTAAGTATCATCAATCTTTTTCAGTATTGAACAGAAAATGTTTTTTTACAATTTTCTTTGAAAAAATTCATTCTTCAACAGCTAAAGAAAAGTAAATTGTTTTTCTTTTGACACTTTCATTCTGTTCGATGGAATGCTTTTTTGTGCATTTACGATCGTCTAAATTGGTAGGGATGTTAGCAGTAAGTGATTAATTATGCAGTGCTGAAGGGTAACAATTATTGAAAGCAATATGGGAAAATATCGAGTTTGATAAAAGTCAAAGTGAATCGAGTCATTCCTTTGAATTCAATTTGCACAGTTTAATGAGAAAGGTCAACGTTTCAACTCGAACTCGAATTTTTATTGCTACTAGCGGCTTCTTTTGGTTCAACTTTGAATTACAATTTTCTCAACTTTCAATTGACTCTTTTAAAGGACTTTTTATCGTATCTTTACACTTCATCTTGTCCTTGATTTGCCCAATTTACACAATCATTAGTTACTTTGTTGATAAGATAAATGCAATTGATTATGATTAATGGATAATTATAGTCGGTAAAGGTGAATCCGATAAAAGAAAATCAAATCTTTTTAATTTTTTTCAGATTCATGTTTTCGTTTAGAGTAAAATCATGATATTAATGACATTAGTTACGAAGACATTGTTGCTTCGGAAATAAACTTGAATAATAGTCTTGGACTATTAATTGTCACCGATTCCGGTGATGAATTCAAAGTTGAAAACCGTTAAAACCCACATTTTGATATTTATCAATGCGCAGGACAATCGTATGAATAAAATTATGAGTTTGGAAAAATTCATTTTATTCATTCTTATCTTTCTTCCATTTATCTCTTTTTATCTGAATAATTTTTTTGATCGGATTCACCTTAAATCATCTTTTAAATCACATTTTGATCTGTTTCTTCAGGTGATTAATAGTGCATCTTGATTTATAACGGAGCTTCTTTTTTTCTCCTCATTAGCAAACAGCCTTATTCCATAGTCAGAATATTAATCTGATTGCTCTGATTTTTATTTTCTGCTCTCAAAGTCCCTTAATTATCGTCATCACGATCAAGTTTTTTCTTTCAAATGAGCCCAGAACTTTTCTACATGAATCTTCAGTGAGAAATATACTGATTTCTTACTGAAGATTCGTAATTTCAAACAGTGGTCGAGCATGTTTAACGATGTGGATAACGGTAGAAATATAATTAGTGCGATAAAGTTACAGATTACAAAATTCGTAATCTTAAGAGAAGAGAAAAATTTTCAAGGAAATTTTGCTTTTCACCAAGTGCGAACCAGACAGTTAATTAGTATCGAAATATCTGATTTTTAGTTGAATTGACAACATCTTTATAGCTTGACTCTGCAAGCTCATTTCAACAGAATTTATTGAAACTGATTATAAATTGAAATAAAATTCAAATGAAAGACACAGAATTTAATTTTGAATTTAATTTGCAGCAAAATAACTCTGGTAATGGCGTTTACACAGCATTTACGGGTAAAGACGATGTCAAAAAACTTTTATTGATGCACGAATGGAGAGGCGAAAGGTAATTTTGACCAACCTAATTGTTGCTTAGTTGCTAGCAACATTATTTTCATTGGCAATTTATGCAGCATGAAACTTTTCAATTTAAGTGGAAATTAATTTTCTCCTATTTGTTCAGAACTGTAGACTGCTGGGCGAGCTCTCGATGTGGAATGCTCAATGGAACTGATGGAACCTGGTTTCACCCAATGATCTCACCAACAGAAACACTGTACATTTTCAATGCTGAAGTAAACAGGTAAGTTGTCCACATTATCCTCTTAATTCTCAAATCCAATTCCATCTGGTAACATCAATAGTAAATACAAAAATTGATCGATGAAAAGGTTTCCTTTTTAAGCCAAAGATGGCTCTTCACCTCACAATAAATTGAGTCTGACAAAGCTTGACTCAACAGATAATTTCGTCACCATTTGGCTGTGCAAAGACAGCGACATGTAAAGCTACCCGTTGCGACCCAGGGATTTACAGTCAACTGGCATTGAAATATCTTTGATTCAAAACAGGCTGAATCTGTCAGTATCCTCCATTCGCAAAGACTCTAATCTTCATAACTGTCAAATTTTCCATCGAACCGACGGGAAAAAACTCAAACTTGACGTTCGTTGAACAAATATTAGGAACTTCCGAATTTTCGAGAATAGTTTAGCCATTTCTCTATTCGCATTCCATGATCGATGAAAAAACTAGAAAACGAAATTCTTTCCATTTGCCGAAAATAGCGGTAAAATAGTCCAATTTTGTTTCATAAAGCCATGAATTCAAGAGCCACACCGACCAGCATTTTTCATTCAAAACTGCTTTCGTTTGAAATCTCTAATTGCGAAAATCGAAAAAATGTAATCCAAGATTTTCAGCTCAAGTTATTTTGAACTTAAAAGATGGCGTCACTTGACTACCAAATTGAAATCAAATACCAATAAATCCCAATGATATTGATTGCGCATTAAAGCTTTAATCAATTAACTACTGATAGTGACCAATTTAGCAATCAATAATTACCATATGAACTAACACCACCAACCATCTGAATGAATCGAATCTTTTGCATTTGAATTTTCAAAATTTTCAAAATGGACTGAAATCCGAGACAATAACTGAAAATAGATTTGTCAGGAAATTGAGGCGAAAATTGTCAGAAATGGTTTTCAAAAGAAATTTATTTAGTTCATTGAGTGTAAAATGTCATCAAAAGGTGTGATTTACAGGAAAAACTATCAACAAACCAAACATCGCAATATTGACATTTCCGTTCAACTTGAATTGTTGAAGAAGAAGAGTTGAAATTGTAAATAAAATTTCATGCTTCACTTTGTTTGATGAATGAACAGTAAATGTCTAATTGTTTTTGAGGCGCAAAATTAAAGAAAGGAAAAGGTTCCTTTCCAATGAAACATTTACCTGTCAAATGATCAAGTGCAACAATTGCCTGCAAGACAATGAAATATTAATTTCTTTGTCACTAATTAGTCAGCTAATTAACAATGGAATCAGCCTTTTCTTTGATAAATTTTCTCTCATTTCTCGCATGGAAATGACGATAAAAAATGAAAGCTTTTCATAATCTAGCAAATTGAATATTTACATTTAAACTCAATATTGAAATGGAAACTCATTGAGACCGGAAAACTGAAATGAATTGAATAACAGATTCGATAAACACTTTTGCAAGTTGACTTTGAATGGAAATGCAATGAAATCTGAAAATCAATTGAATAATCATCAGGTATTTACATTAATATAAAGTAACATTGTGTTCAATTCGTAAAGAAAAGGTTGGAAAAAAACTATTTTAGTCCGTTTTGCTTCATTAATATCATTATTAAAGTGAATAAATTATCTTAACCATTTTTGCTTTAATGAGTTGTTCAACATTTATCAACTCAAATTTTGTCTCCTTTTATTATCATCACTTCACTCTTCACCGTACAAGAGTTGAATACAGTTAAAAATCCATTTACTCTGCATGATAATAGTTATAATCATAATAATATTTAAAATCGTTTCATTTTACATGGAAGTCACAGAATATCTCATGAGAGGTACAAAACTTTGTGTGTGCAAGAAAATAATAAATGAGATGAAAAGTTCCATAATCTTGATAACTTTTTTTTGCGTCTTTTCCTCTCAATCAATTTTTTATCAAAATTCTTTACACCTCATCAATTGGTCAATATCACCAAATTTATCATGAAATGCTCTTTACTTTCAAGTTCAAGTTTACAAATTTTTTTCATGCAAAATTCGAATCGGAAACGAAAAATTTCAAATTCATTTCGGAAACTGAAAATATTGATTAAAAACAATTCGATTTTTCGTAAAAAATTTGAGGTTTATGGATTTTTTTAGGAAATTTCGGAATCCAAATCGAAAACGAAAAATTTTAGAAAAATTGCAATTCAGAAAATCTTCAGATTTTGCTGGAAATTTTCGAATTTCGATTCGTTTTTTATTTCGAAATTTTCGATTTTGATTTAACTCTGAAGCTCTTTCATTCAACTCATTCCAGTTCAAGTTCGCTGAAATTTATTAGGTTAATAAAACTCAATGAGCCATTCTTTTTTAATCAACTGATGACCAATTAATAGGATTTCATTTTCCCCTGAATTTTCATAACCAATTCTTCATGGAAAATTTCTTTTTGTTCTCTCTCCTCTGCTTTTCTATTTTTATCTGAAAAGCTCAATTTTCTTCCCACCTCTGTTTGACTTATGTATCTGATGAAATGAATTTATGCATTTAACCAGAATTTGATGTTTGATCTGTTAACCCTGTTTGACCAAAAACTGAGTCGATTCGATGATAAGACAGAAGTTAGTAAATACATAATGTAAACATGAGTGAATAGACTGAGCGTCTGAATAGCGAATAATGAAAGTTGTTATCATGACGAAGAGCAAAAAAAGAGTTGCCTGGCTCAGGGTTATCATGAGAAATGGTGAGAAACTATTACAATGGATTTGTTTGTGAATCTCACTTTTAGTTGCGACTCTTTTGCAGGCAATTTATTTTCAAGCATCACTTGTGATTGAGTAAATCAATTTACTCTATCAAATATAAATCTCTTTTCCATAGACGTTGATTATCTATATTTTTATCGTCATCATGTTTCTCCATGTTACCGAATTTAGTGCAACATTTTTCTCTCTCATTACCAATATTTGCATGGCAAGAACTTGGAGCAAAAAAGAATTCATTTTTACATTCATTTTTTCCTCTTTCCTGGCAAATTGATTTTGCTTTTTTTCTGTCGACAAAAAGTTTTCTTGTTTACATGATTGCAAGTGGCGGACAATTTTTCATGATGATTCTGGTTTGAAGAGAAGAGAACAGTTTGAAATGGAAAATGAAGGAATCGAAAAAATGGAAAGTTCATTACATGTCAATATAATCACGTCTTGTTTCATCAGATTACATCAATATCATTAGACTCGAGTAATAGTAATGATTATAATGGGCTAATATCTTTGATTGATTATTCTTGTTTCATTTTTTCTCTATTTCTTTTTTCTTCGCTTTTCCATGATAAATATTTCATTTCCATCAATGTCAACAAATGCTTGAACCAAGTTCAGTTGAACGTGAAATGGATTTGGAAAAAAGGTTCAGCAAAGATAAATAAGAATGAAAAATGTAAAGACGAAGATAATAATCGAAGACAAGATAAACACAATAAAAAAAGACTAATGATAATAACGGTAATAACGATGATAATGATGACAATTTTGGTGATTTTGCTTTTTCTCTTCTTCTTCTTCTTTTTCCCTGAGTCTTCATGAGCAACAGTTTGCTCTGAATTTCAATTCTCAGTTTAAAAGCTTATTCATCATAATTGAACGTGATTTGTTGCTGTTAATTTTCATCGAGTTTACACAAAAAAGGAATAAACTTTGCTCGTAAATTTCATTTAATTAGATAACCATTTTCATCTGGAAATGAGGTGAACGAGGGAAAAGTCAAATTTCATGGAAAAAAGAAGCAGAAAAATCTGGAAAAAATAGATTCAACACTGAATGATTAAGAATGATTAAGAATGATAAAACAGCCCATATTGTCATATTTAAGTGATTAACTTAGCAATAAGTTTTGACAAAGAAAATAATTAATGATTGAAATTTGACTTTATTAACCCAATTCAAGTGTTTAAGCTTTAATGAAAATCAGAGTTTTTCTTGTTTTATTTCCATTTCAATATGGAAAGATTATCATGAAAAAAGGAAAAAAGAAATTTATCATTTTTTCTCCATTCAATTTCGCCAATGGAACATTTGGTTGACAAGTTCAGGTAAACAGTGAAATTACCTTTGGGTTGTTTATTGATTTCATTTATTTATGTTTTTCTTTTCCATTTTACATTACCTTTTTTAATCATCATATTGAAGTTGATACTTCCGCAAGTGAATAGCTGTTGGCCCACTAACATGAGAAGTGTTGATTTTCGAATTCATCTTTTCTCTCTTTCACCATGAAATGCCTTTTTCTTTTCTTATTCATTTGCAATAATTTAATTTGGCGACTTCCATTAAAAGGAAAAAAAACTTTTGTTATTTTTTACTCTTTACTTTTCATTAGAGTTTACCTTTTTTATTGCAAAATTCACAATCAATGAATGGTTATAAAAGTTTAGCTTTGTTATTAACGACATTAATTAACCTTAAAAACAATTTACCTTTAAATTTGCATACAAATCGATGGAAAGTTTGAAACCAATTTGATTATTTTCAACTTTTCCAATTTTCCGCTTTTCTCTATTGGAATCATTTTCACTTAAGTGTTTTCAAATTTGCTAATTGTAAAGGTTCATCTTGTTCCAGATCAGATTTTCGTCATGAGCTTTTTTCAAAGTTCATTGATAATGGCCAATCAAATGTTTATTGAAAACTGGCCTCTCAATCATTTATTCAGTCAAATTCATTAGATAATGTTGATCAAATGTTCCATTATTTACATCTATATTTCAATTGTTGATCTATAATCAATCTTTAATCTTATTCCATTGTTCGACATTCTGTTATTCATGGTCAATCATGATTTTCTTCATTCGAAAACAAACTCTTGGAAATATCATGAATCTCTATTGTTACGCTTATCGACCGATCATGAAATGCCAAGTTCAAGTTGAGGTGAATGATTGGAAATGAAAATTTTTTGAAAAATCTTTGGTTCGATTCGAGTGTCGATTCGATTGAATTGTGTCCAAATCTAGTCTTTTCATTGTTCGTGTTTTAGCAAAGATAGCGATTCGACTAATCTCATGGATCAAGAATGTTGATTAGAAAAATGTTGCAAATCTTTTGCATGAAAATGTACTTTTCCATTTTCCTCGCTCATTAACCTTTTTACATTTTCAGTTTGAGACAAAAGTATTTTATCAAGCTTATTGTTGTCAAATGTTGAATGGAAATTGAAATAATGGTAAACATGATGTTTTCATGGTTGATATAGTTTTTGATGAACTTTTGTCTTTTCCTTTTAAAATCATCATTATCTTCATTTATTCACTTTTACTTTTCTTCTTGTTCAACCTTTGCTTCCAATTGAAATGAACAAATTGTTATCAACCTTTTCAATAAATTTAGTAATTTCTTCAATTGTTCATGTGCAAGTCGATAGAAAATGAAAAAATTTCTTGTTCTACTTGAAATTGCATTCATTACATGAACTCTGACAAAACGCACCTTCTCTCAGTAAATGTCAACATAAGTTAATAAATTAGCGTAAATGTCGCTCTCAATGAGAGTCAAAGTGAAACAGAAAATGAACAACTTCCATGACTCAGTCGAATAAAAAAAACTTATGAATTATTTAGAAAAGAAAATTGCTTCCATGAAGATTTATCAAGATTATCCAAAGAATTTTTTACATTAATTTCTTTGAACTCAGCTGATCTCATATCATGTTTTTCAAAACTTTATCAACAAAGATCTTGTTCATTGATCGAATTTTTATCGGAAAAAATCGTCAATCGTTTTTTCGACTCGAAATTTTGGCGAAAACGTTCAACGAACTTTTCCATTCATGAAATTCTGAAAAACTCAACATTCGCATAAGATTGGCAAAAGTCTTGAATGTTTTGGGTTCATCTTTAAGGAAGTAAATTCACTCAACTTTAGCAAATTGCTATAGGAATTTGCTTGGAAATTATCTTCAAAAGAAATCAAATGAGCTCATGAAATTTTCATCCATTATCTGAGTTAAAGTTCCTTCACTTTCAAGATTTTCTTTGAGGTTTTCTTTGCTCTTTGGGATTGAGGGAAGAAGAAAAAATCTGACTATTTTGCAGTAAAATTGCACTTGAAAGCAACTCAAATTTTCACTGCTTTTGATCTCAAAGTTTACTCATCATGTATTAGTTTAATGATTTTGTATAAACTCTACTTCACATTAAGCTTGAACTTTTGATGAACATTCGAATTAATTCAACTTTGATTTCAATGAGCAATTAACCTTGTTTTGTATTCTTTTCTTTAGATCGTTATCTCTGGAAAACTCGGGAGACTCTCTTGTCCAAGGCTTGTCAAGTTATCGTTTTACTGCAGCTCGAGGATTACTTAATGCACCAACTTTTGACAGCAACAATGAATGTTTTTGCGTCTCCAATGACACGGCTCTCAGTGAAAATGGATTCTGTTCACTGGATGGAGTTCTTGATATTTCAAAGTGTCATAATGGCGTACCTTTGGTTTTGTCTTTGCCACACTTTCTCTACTCTGATCCTCTTTTAATCCATTCCTCGAAAGGCATTAATCCCGACGTCTCTAAACATCAATCATATCTCGATGTTGAACCGGTAAGCAATGAGACGAAACTGATTGAGAGAGAGAAGACGAAAATAGAGTTTGAAATTTAATGATCAATAGACATCAACTTGAAATTGGAAAAGATGATTCAATTGAAAAGAGTTGAACTCGAAAATTAATGAGTATTGAAATAAGTTCACCAGAGGAAAACATGAACAAAAGCAAAGGATAAAAAGTTTATACAAAATATGATAACAATCACTCCCACTGAGAAACAATTGTAAAAAGTTATCAAAAGTGGAATGAAGAGAGAGAGAAAATGTAATCTTGAAAAGTGCATCAATTGATCTGTCAAGTTGAGTGTTGTATGATCTCTCAGAAGGAAACTTGGATTCATCTTTTTATTCATTATTTTCAACCTTTTCATTCACAGTTGACCGGAATTGTACTCTCAGCACGTCGAAGGATTCAACTCAATATACGACTTCGTTTCGCCTACAATTTAGGGTAATTACAAGTACTACTTCTTACAAAAAACTAATATCTCAAGACAGCAAACCACTCATTCAATCCCTAACTTAAACCTACAACTACAGAAATTCAAGTTTTTGACAGAAAATCAAATTTCAGTGCAATTTCGATTCTTTAGATTCTCAAATTTTTAATCGCAACTTCATAACGATTCAGATCAATATACGAATTTTCACAAAAAAACTAAAACTTGAAGAACACGAAATTTCCTCAAATTTTCCCTTCTGATAAGCTAAGCGACGGAAATTTCAGTATCTGACAGAAAATCAGTTTCGAAGCTGAACAAGTGCGGAAATCAAAACCAAAGAGAAACTGGAAATTCTCATAATTTAGTTTTATTGATTTGATCATATTAACTTATCCAAACCAGCTTAGTCCAGTATCGGAAACTAGAGTTTAGGTTTCGATTCAAAGAAACATGAGTTGACTTTGACTTTTCAATTTCGACAAATTCGATTTAATAACGGAAAGGCTGAACTCGAAAATTTTCAATCGAATGAGCTTAAGTCGAGAAAATGGAAACAAATTATTTGGTCAAGTCCAAACTTTGAGATGTTACACTGACATTGAATATAAAAGATTTTGAATTGCTTTGAATTGTTTTTCCATGAATGGCGCAGTTATTACATTGTACTATTACATTGAAAATTACTTTTGCCTAATATTTTTTGTTGCTTCTTCATAATGATAATAATAAACTTATTTTACCATTTTACTATTCTCAGAGGTATTTCATTGAACGATATGGTTTATCCACTCGTTTGGCTCGAAGAGGTAAGAATTATTTTTATTTTACTTTTTTTCTCTTTTTTTCTATTGTTTTTTATTTCTTTTAATGCATTTAATTTACCATTTTTATTTTAACCAAACAATCTTATTACTTTATACTTAATGTAGTCTCACATCTTGCATCATTACAATGTGTATAATAATAATAGCAATGATAATAAGAAAATGGAAAAAGAGAAAAAAGACTTTTTTCTCTTCTTCTTCTTCTGTCCTTTTAATCAACATTTTTATTGAAACAAAGTTTCGTCAGATAAAATTTCATGGAAAAGACGATTCATGAGCAACAGCTTCCTGTAATCTGTAATTGTTATTCACATCTATAGACTACAATTTAATCTTTCAACTGTTATTAACATTATTGAGTGTCTACTGATGATGCTTATGAAGATGGCGATGTAAATGAAATGGAAAATGAATTCAGTCTGTTTGGTGATTTTACTTTTTTGCGTTTGGATAAAAATTCTTTTCCTTTCAACTGTTTTCCACTCATGAATACATGATGAAGGATGATTAAGGAATTAATAACTTTCACTATTCAAGATTAAATCTAATGAATCTATTGCAAGCTTTTGTTATCTCAGGTTCATAATCCTGGCAAAACAAATGAAACATTTTTGTGAAAATTTTTTTTTCCTTTTTCCATTTTTCTATTCATTACTTGATGAATTTGAATCCAATGAAATTTACTGAAACAAACTATTTTCACCCAAAAATATTGAACCAACAAAGTTTCATTTATTCGAGATTTCCATTTGAGAATTTCCATTTTCTCTCAAACAATCTTTTTCGATTGTTCATTGTTTATGTTTCAAATGTTCATTGATGTAATTTGTCATGAGAGAATTGTGTAAACTCTAAATTTGGTTCAACAGTTGTTATTTCAATCAACAGTTCTAACAATATTTTTCTTCAATTGAAACCTTTTCCATTGAATTTCCAGTTATTCGTGCCTCGGGTCATTCAACAAACTCAAGGTTGACATCTTTATCATTCCAGGTCAAGCAAGTTTCACGGTTTCATGCTTTCGATTCTGTGATAGTTTGAAGGTTGGAAAGGTTGAGATCGATGAAAGGTTTTTATGGATTTAGTGATAAATAGAAGGCAAGTTTTGTGGTAAATGCTCGGAATGAAATATTATCCTTTATCATGAAAGGAAAGAGAAATTTTTCGCAAAATTTTTTCTTCTTAATCTAAACTTCTTTTCTCTATCAACAGATATTATTACTTTTTTCTCCTTATTCTTATTCATTTTTATTCAGAATTTTAACTTTTTTCAATTTGTAAACCTTGAAGAAGCTTTTGCTTTCTTTCATTGTAAACATTTTCAGATGTTAATTGAAGAGCAGGGTAAAGCCATGAAAAAAAGTAACTCTACTTGTTGAAGCAAAAGAAAAGATTATTCAAACAAGAGAATTTTTTTCTCTGTTTTTTTTCTTCTCCTCATAAATGAGTGTTATAATAACTGTAATAATGATAATGATAATGATATTGTTGTTGATGATGATGATAGTGATAATGATACTCACTTGAACATGCAATCTCTTCAAGAATGCTATTGAAATGGAGGGTGGAAAAGGCAAAGAAAAGAAACCAGAAAAAGACTTTAACGTCAAAATATCTAAAGTTGGATGAAAGATTTTTTTTCCTTCTCAAGAATATCTTCAATTGAAAAAGCAATTGACAAGGAAAAAATGGAAATAAATATTATTGTTGAGACGGAGTGAAGATGCTGGGAGTGAAAAGTTAAAGGCAACATAAAAAAAGAGTAAATAACAATATATTCAATATTAAAGAGAGAAAATATAAACCACTCAGAATTTTCATGGAATCATTAATAAAGTTATTATAATTTGTGAAGTAAACTCTTTTATTCTGGTAAACAGTTTCAATAACAATTTAAAGCTTTTGTGTAGCAAGAAGAAGCCTTTTCTTATGGGAAAAGGTAACATCAGTTAGGTTGAGCCTTGTCTAGCCATGGAGTGCTTACAAGTCTCAGTTGTCTGCGAAAGTCTTGCCATTACATGCGTCTGAATATGCTGCTGAATATTAGCATATTAATTTTGATAATTGAATTCCATGTTTTCAGATTCAAAGCAAATTTACAAGTTGAAATAAACTCATTCACATTTCGTCATTCTTAAGAAAAGCAGATTTGTTAAGATGCAGGTCAGAATCCGAAGGATTCTGGTTGTTTCAAATGAAAGATTAACTTGCCTGAACTGTACATTTTCATTCATGCTACGTTTTCACCTGAGAAATTTGTACCAAGATCTTTATTATTATGCATGGAGGAGCACATAAAATCGACTTTTTAAGTGAAAATTTTGCTAGAAGTTGAATGAATAAAGTATTCATTTCATGTGTTGACCCAGCTGAGTCAGAGAACTCAGTAATTCATTAATTTTGAATCTTTAAATGAATCTATGAAACGGCACATGAACGAGTTTTATGCTCAGCTTTCTATATTTCAAATGTTATGAAAATCAAACTCTTTCCACTCTTTACGATACCAACAAAGACCCTTGATGACACGTTATTTTTGATGGGAAACGGTTGCCCTTGTCAGGTTATGCTTTGTTCCATCATCCACTGTTTTTAGTAAAGTTTTTGCCACGAGAAACTTTTGTTTTTGGTTCGTTTCAAGTTTCAATGAGCCAATAAATCTCAACAAATGAGTCACTGCTAATTAAACAATTGCCAATAATAGGTTCACGTTTTTTGTGATAAACTTTTTTCACTCTTTACGCAACCAACCAAGGTTAGCCATGGATACTATTTTTTGATGGGAAAAGGTTGAGTCAATTAGGTTGTGCTTTGCTTCATCATTGGCTCTCTTTGCAAAGTTTACTGCAACAGTTGAATGTTGCTTTTGTTGTTGATCAACTTGTTTGATTTTGTGTTGGCTGTGCAATTTGTATTGCTGTGAATTATTTTGTCATTAGATAATTAATCTCAATCCACCCTTATCTAGAATAATATCATTAATTGTTTTCAATTCTCAAACATTATACGGATCAAATTTCCTAAATTGACTTCTTTTTCTGCTGGTTTCATTGTTCACCCAATTTTTGTTGCTCTTTTCCGCAGCATCTTTTAATCCATCAATCAATTAGCGTAATAAGAAAAAGTGTATCTTGTTGTTGCTCCTGTTTTTACTGTTAATCGATTCAACAATAAACATTCTACTGAAAAGAAGAGAAACAGGTCAACAAATACAGGTAATCATGATGAGCCAACAGATTAACCTTTACCCTTTTGTTGAACCCTTTTTCAATTTGCTCCATTCCAATGTCAATCCAAATGTTTTAAGCTTCTTAACTCGACTGTTTTTCCAGATAACTTTTTATTGTTTGTCAATTCTGTGTAAATTATTTCCTTCCCTTAACAACTCCAACTTCATTTGTAACTCCACCATTATATATTGTCTTTTTTTCTTCATCAATCTTTTCCATTCAGTCTTCTTTCAGCATGTATCATCTTGAAAAGACAAGAATGAAGAAGAAGAAAAAGAAGAAGAAGAAAGAAGAGACAAAAAGTCTTCACGAAACTCGAGAAACCACTAAAGAATAGCCATTAACTTTTCGTATTAAGACGATGATGTTTTTGTTTTCATTTTGACAACAATCATTTCAAGTGATAACCTGTTAGCGCAAAACAAAAAACTCGATGAATATTCAAGTTCATCGATATTGATTTTAGTGGTCATCATTTAAATTCATTTTTCAATACATTTTCTCTTTATGACCAATGGAATAACCGTTGAAAATTGAATCAAAATTTCCACTTGAAAAGAAAATGATTTTTTCTCTTTTTCTTGCAAACTTTTTTGTCTCTGACAAAACAATGAAAATGAGGCAAAATTTGATAAATTGAAATGCGTTAAGTGGCTGAACAAAAAAAAGTGATAAAAGTTGAGCAAAAAAGATGAGAAAATGAAATGACTTTTGAAACATTTTGCTTGTAAAATGGTCAACAAGTTTTTCTGGTTCAATCAACTGAATGCAGTTGAGTCTGGAAAGATGAATGAGAAAATATCATTTACTTGATTCCATTGACACAAACTGGCAAACTCTGGAAGCAACAGTTTACCCTTGAAAAGCAGTCAACAAGGTTAACAAGAATGAGGTTAGAAGGGAAAGGTTACATGATTTACTTTATTTCAAATGTAACCCGACATTTATGAGCCATTTTTATCCATCAATTGTTAGACTAACTTGTCACTCCTAATTTGATGGTAAAAGCAAAATAATAGTTGATCAACAAACGATCATCGCCAGAGTCACCTGTGCATCAATCAATTGATCTGTTAACGTGATTTTTGTTTGTTTAAACAAATTATTTAGAAACACATAAAAGTCAATTTTACCAAATTTTTTTTGTCTTTTCAAGTTTCCTTCACTTTAAACTGACTCTTTAAACTCGACTTTATATTAATTTCATTGAAGTGCTCAAATGAGCTCAATCGTTATGATAATTGAGATATTTTTCATTTCTTTCTTTTCTCTCTCTTTCCCTTTCCTTCCAATCCTGGTTAGTGTTCATAAGGTTAAATTGAAAAGCTTAATTAAATCAATTAACTGAATGACGAGGTAATTTGAACATCATTAGAGTTGAACAAGTGATTAAAAGGGAATGTTGATTAATAACAGTTTGTAGATTGACTAGACTTTATAATAAATAGAAAGGTAATAAATTATCAACCAATTACGATCAATGAATGAGTGATTAGAAAATTTAATAAACAAAAGGGAGAAAAATTTCAAACTCGATTCTGCATTCATTGAATGAGAATAGAATGTGCAAAAAGAATACCTTGGAATTTTAATTTATTCAAAAGAAAAAACAAAATCTAATGAAATTAAATGATCTCATTCATCCATTGACTCGATTAACTTCGAATGCTTTTCACATTCATTGCCATTTGCCTAAAAGCTTGTTATTGAGCGAATCGTCATTTCATCGTTTTTAGTTCGAAAATTCGAATTTCGAAATTTTCGAATTCTGATTTCTATTTTTTAATTTGGAATATTTTGAAAAACTTGTTGGATTCGTTGGGATTGAAATGAAGATTTTGATGTTGATTTTGATTCCGAACTTTTTCGAGTTTTAATGTTTTCTGTTGGTTCTTCAAAACTTTAGTCTAGGAAAATTCAAGTGAAGATTTTTCATGAAATTTCTCCATTTGATGTTTACCATTTATTTCAATTTTCATTTTCTGTCCATTAACAGGGAGCCGATATAACCAAAGCCAAAGCTGATGAATTGTATGAAAAGATATTCCACAAGATTATCATGGCTCAAATTATTTCTGTATCATTAGTCATTGCTGGAATTGGGTTAATTATTTTCTCACTTGCATCATTATCATGGCCTTATGTATCCAAGGTAACTAAATAGTCGAGTTGAAATATTTAACTTGAGCAACATTATAAACTCGAAGCAACCATCGAACTTTGAAACTAAATATTGACCAATTTTTCTTGCTCTTCATTGCAGAAGTTCATCACCAAATGCAAGTCCAAAGTAGCCAAAGACAGGAAATCGGGTTACACTTATCTTGGACTAAAGACTTCCCCACCAGAAGTTGTTTGCGAAGAAAAAATTGAGAAAACTTGAAATCTTCCAAACTGTAAAAAAATGGTTCAGCCGACGTTGCGACGAAACTCAATGGAAAGAAAAGCTGGATTTTTGTAAATTTTTCAACCTTCTTTTTCTTACTTTCATGGAAACTCAAACATTTTATAATTTGAAGAGCAAATTTGTAAATATCAATATTTTATCATTTAAAATGAACTTGAACTTATTGTATTCATAAGATTTGATTGTCTGATTAAATTATTGAAAAAAGAAGAAATATTTTGGTCAACTTTTCCATTTTTTTTGGTGGAGAAAATTTTCCACTCTTTCTCCCTTCGTTTTGTGTATTTTTATCATGAAAATTGAGTGATTCTTGGAGTGATTCATGGGAAAGCGCATGAGTTGCAAGTGAGCGAGAAGATTGAAGATGAAAAAATGATACAAAAAGAGGATTGCTCGAGAGTGAGAATGAGAAGAGTTGTAATTGTTGAAGCGATAAAATAGCGACTCAATTGAGTGAAAAGTAAAAAAAGCATCGACAACGAAGCAAAGTAGAAAAGAGGAAAAAAAAGTTCGTTCATCATTCATCAGTTATTATTGTTGCTACAAGCAAGTGAATCATCAAACCACTTTAACTCCCAGTGAATTATCAATCATCCAAAAAAATATTCATTTATAGCAATTATTAATCAACAGTTAACAGTAGCAAAAAAATTATGGTTAAATCAAGTGAAGTTTGTTGTTATTTTCAAATCAATTTACTGTTGTTACTAACCATTTGGAGTGTTTCATTAATTTCATCGGTTTCGCTGGCACCCGAATCGGTAACCAATTTGGACCAATATGCAACCGATCCCGATTCAATTGGAACCGCTTCTCACCTTTCCCTGCCCACATCATCCTCTTCATCCTCACTGCTTGGACAACAACATAAAGGTAACAAGATAACAGTCTATTATCCAAACATGGAAAGTCAAGATTTTTTCGTCGACGACTTGGAAGATAATCAAATTATGGAAAAGAAAGGCGCTTCTTGGAACAAGCTTCAAGGCGCTTGGGGTAAAAGAGCCTCTGATAGTTGGAACAAGCTGTCGGGTGGTTGGGGTAAAAGAGGTCCCGGTGACCGCGATTGGAACCAATTGTCTGGAATGTGGGGTAAAAGGTCAAGTTCAGGGTCTCCATCGACATCGGCCCAATGGAACCATTTATCGGGAATGTGGGGTAAACGGGGTTGGAATGATTTGAGTGGTCAATGGGGTAAACGGGATTCTCCCCATTGGAACAACTTGCGAGGAATGTGGGGTTAAGGGTTGTGTCGCCAAGTGAACCAATTATCTGTATCTATCTTCATAATTCATTTCATCACTGATTCCATCAACAAAGAGACAACACAAAAGCAACAAAACTCTGTTAATGATATTTATTTATCTCTTTTCATTCCTTTTTGTTTCACCCTTTACCTTTTCCTTTAACCTGTTTGGTCAGTTTTGTTTAGCCTTTTGCTTTGTGCTTGGACAACAATGAAATTACTTTTTTTTCTCGTCTCGCACTTTTCCATTCCAATGTCATGATAATAAAGACTCTTTTTTTGGCTCTTTTTTTGCTTCTTTTTTCTCTCCTTCTCACCTTTACTTTTACATCATTTTTGTGCCCTTCAATCGACCATCAGTTGAAACAATTTTTCATTTTCTGAGTTTTCTTATTCGTTCGTTTCACTCAATAGGAGAAAATTTTCTTTTTCATTTTTCTTTTTTTCTTCTTCTCTTTGCAATTGAATTTCATTGAATATCAACTTGTAATGAATGTTATCAATTTGCTTTCACTTAACAGTTTCTTTGCCTTGCAATAATTTCTCATCTTTTCGCTTCGTTTTCTTTCAACATATTTACTCGACATTATTCAACTCACCATGTTTGCATGAAATGATGTATTTTTTTCTTCTTCTTCGCCCAACTTTTCTTGTTACTTTTTTTTCCAATTACACACTTTTATATATTGCTTTTAATCTCTTTTTGTGTGTCAATAATTTCAAAGGATATAAACCTTGGGAATGGAGATGAACATTTTTCCCTCTTCGATTCAATGTGAAAAACCATGAGAGTTGAGTCGAGGTTTGAATTATTTTTCAAATTTTTGTTCATTAATCGATGAAAGAATCATTCAAATGGTTTGGTTTTTGTGGTCATTAAAAAAACACTCTTTTGAAATACAGAAGGAAAAGTATCAAATTTCTTTATGAGACTCATGTAAATTCATGAGAGAATTGAATCTACTGTGAAACGACAAAACTTTAAAAATGTGGTAAATAAAGACTCTTTTAAACTCGACTTTAAATTTCTCATTAATTTCTTCCCGAATGGACAATAAAACTGGAAAAAGATTCAAATTGAAACATTTGAAAAGGAAAACCAAGTTTAAAATTGAATCGATTCAAGTGGAAAGAAAATTTGGAAACTTTGAAGAAGAAAAAATCGAAAGTAAACTTGATCAGATTTTCCATGTCACTACCGATAAATGGGTTAATAATGTTAGGTAAAGAGAAGCAAAAATGATCGTTAATTGAAGCAAGAAAGAGCAAATAATGTTGAACAAACAGGGAATCAAAAGAAAACATTGAATGCCTTTAAGGTTGAACACAAAAGGTGTAAGATGGAATCATGATGATTGGCATGGAAAAGTGCGAAAAAGAGGAAAGAAAAAGGAAGAAGAAGAAGAGAAAAGGAAAAGAAAATTTTGGACAAAGGATGACATGATGATGATGTAAAAGATTGAGGCAAAAGTGGCTAAAGGTGAAATGTTTGTCATTGATTGTTGATTCTAATGAGTAATCAGATACATTTAATAAAACCATTTTGACAAGAAAACTGTTTTTGCCCTTCCATCGTGTAATCAACTTTTAATGTCCAAAGACGTCTATTTGTCTATGTAAAGTTCATCCTTGGAACGATTCAATGTAAACATTTACCTGTTTACGTTTATCTGGTTGGAGAAAAAGAGATTAAAGAAAATTCTGTCTTCGGAAATTAATCAATCAATAAGTTGCCTGGCAAATATGGAAGCTTGAAATTGATTCTTTGCCATTTAATTTTCACTTTGACCATTTACCTTTAACCTCATCATTATCTCACACTTTATTTACTTCAACTTGATGTGTAATCTGATGAGTTGGAATCAATTGAGTAACGATTGGAAGGAAAAAGTGAATGGAAAAGAGGAAAAAGAATCATTTTTTGACCAAAAAATTCATCATTTATTGTTGCATTTTTTTGTGCAGTTTAATGGCAATTGATGAACCAAACTGTTACTAAATGTTTACCAAAGCTCATGATGAACCTAAAATTGAATGGAAATTTTGAAACATTTACTTTTGTTATTGATAACATTTCATATTACATGATTGATTGCATGTATTTAGTGAGAAAACATTGACATTCACTTTGGATACTTTGATCATTCTCTTTTATCCATTATTTTTCATGGTAAGTACACTTGTTACTCGAGTTATCATTGAAATCATCTTTTCTTCCAGATTGATTATCTTTGATTGGTAATTGGATTCACCTTTGTAATCAGTTGTTATTTATTCATTTTTTGTTATTCTCATCGTTAATCAGATTTTTCTTGTTCAACATCTTGGAGTTTGTTTGAGACCAAAAAATGGACAGATTCGTTTATGGCTAGTTTCACCTCTAATCATGTCTGGGATTTTCATGGGAATCACATGAGAATTTGAAACAAAATTTTGATGATCATGACCAGAGGCAGTTCAATTAGCTGTGATTATGAATATGCAGTCATCGAAAAGGTTAAAGGCTTAAATCTCGGTAAAGTCTTTATTTTTTCGTCTTTTTGTTTTACTTTTTTCTTTCGTTCGTTAACGGTTTTCAAACTTAATTTAGTTTGTTTTTTGTTTCTCCTCATTTCTGGGAAATATTTCTTTGAATAAATTGTTGTTGCTATTTAACAGAGCAAAAAATGAATCAGAATTGATAGGTAAACAATTTTTCTCACAAACTGTACTTTCTTCTTATTATTCATTTGATTCGCAAAAGTTTGTTTGTCTCAAATGTTTACATATACATAACGTTATGACACAACGATAATGATTTGGACGTTAATGGTTGTGATAATGAAGTTCTGTTTGTTGCTGTTGAAATTTTTCATGTTTTCATTTCGTTTCTAGTTATCACAGGATTAATGGACTATTAATATTTCATTGAAACTCAATTTTTTATATTTAATGAATTTGTTGGATTTATTCAAGATCAAAGGTGGATTAACTATATATTTAATAGAAAATATTTTTAATTTGAAGGTTTAATCACGTATTGAGAATCAGCATAATGAATGAATTGTATACAATAAGAAACGGTGGAATCGAAGCGCAAATGGAGTTATTCAAAGGGAAAGCTCGTGAAAATACGAAAAATCAAAATTCTGAATTTCATTTCATGAGTATTTTTTATAATTTTGCACTAAAAAAAGGTTCTACTTTCTTACTGGCGAATTAAAAATACAGTTATCTAATGTTCAGAAGGTATGTATTAGGATGTCAAATAAATTTTGCGGTTGGATAGCTTCGAATTGACTGAAATTTCATTGAAGCAAATTAAGGACCTTCGGTATTAATATATCGTTTGAATTTGTTACATCGAATGATTTATGCCATTTTTGTGGTCGCCCTGAAATTTATAACGAGAAAATCGACAAAAGTGAATTTACCTCCTTTCCTGAATAGACATTGTCTTCTTTGTATGAATTTTCCAAAAATTAAGATAGATTGAAGTCAATAGAGATGAGAGCAGATAGATTCACAAGCAGTCAGAATCTAAGGTTATAAATTTAGTGACGCGTGGCTAGAAAATTTGATGCAAAAAGTTCATTAAAAAAAATTTTGGTCGATTTTTGAACCCTTTAAAAAACTGTAAAAATGCAATAATTTTGTAAATATTTGTTTGTTTGATTTTTTCTTTTATATTGATTAGGCTAAGTGTTGCTTTGACATGGTCCGGAAGACATAAGTCGCTATCAAGGTTACCGTATGTAACATTAAACTATATCAAACACAGCTTCAAGGCCTGAAAATTCAACGTCAAGAACTTCTGCTCAAACTTGAAAGATTAGAAGCAAGGAGAGGAATTAAACAATTTCGGGATACGAACCCTCTGACAAAGTATTGCGAGAAGTCTCAGAAACAAACCAAACGGAATCGATGGACTCAGTTGATTCACCTTTAATTGAAGAATCTTGTAATATTTACGGTAATTTTTAAATAGTACGCCATTTTGGCTTGGCTTCACATGGCGAATTTCGACTTTTGGCGTCTTCAAATAAGTACAGTATTTCAACCTGTAGTCAAAGATGTGAAGTAGATAATAGGTATGGAATCTGAAACATTGACTATATTGGTTCAAGGCCAAATAGATTCATTTACTTACATGAGAAAAATCAAAGATTGTGTATTCCATCCGAGTGATCCTATTGTATTAACATTATTGCCGAGTATTAGAATTTGATGTTAGAGTGAAAGAATATTTACATGAATGTCTCTTATTTCAACGTCAAACTGCCTATTTATTCGTGAGGTATACTATACCTACCGGTCGTTTTTTTCATTTTACGCCTTCATGCAGGCATAACACGCGAATGGTTAGTGCCACAAACCTCAGACTTGAACCAGGAACGCATTGCGATTGCGAAATTATAAGTTCGAACGCTCAAGGTTATTCAAGGCCAATTCTTTATTCCACCTCTAATTGACATTGGAAGGTCATTTTCTGAAAATTTCAAATCTTCTGACCCGATAGTGTTGTTCAAATCTTAATAACTCATACTGGCTAAAGGAGGGATCCCATAACATTCAGCTAATCAGGGAAAATTCATTTATCTTTCCAAGGGTATGAGTTATGAACACATAGTTGACATTATCTGGTCACAAATTTTGAGATTTCAGAAAATGACCTACCATTGTCAATTAGAGGTCAAATAAAGAATTGACCTTGAATAACCTTGACCAAAGTTATGGTTCTGCAATCTGAATAAGTTCATGGTTCAAGTCTGAGGTTTGTGGCACTAACCATTCGCAAGTTTTGCCTGCATTAAGGCGTAAAATGAAAAAAACGCCAGGTATACCAGGTTCATTAGAATCTACTTCATATTATAAGCAATCATCCATGCTCTTAACATATAGTCGTGGCAATATATGTATATATATGTCTGTAACATTGAACATTGTGTTAATACTTTTTTAAGCTCGACAATACTGCTCGAATATCGGTAGGCGATATTCGCTATCTTTGGAAGCTCGAATCTTTGCGCGATTTTCAGAACCCATTCTCAGATTAAATCTGTTTTTGATGTTTCCCTTAAAAAAATAACATTTCATAAAATTCTACGGAGGTCGACTTTGACGAGACAGACGTTTTTGGACACCTGTCCACCAAATCCAATAAAACTTGCTCTAATTCTGAAAATTCTAATAAGTCAAAATATCTTAAATGGCAACCCATTATCATTAGCCGAAGAGTTTACTGTGATAATAGAATATTTCGATTAAATATAATTTTGTCACTGAGACTTACTCGAAGTGCGATTAAAAGAGGTTTACTCACGTTGGAAAAAATCAATATGAAGTCTCTTCAGAGTTACCAGTCTGGCTAAAATGTTTAATAACTCAAAAGTTACGCTTCCAGTCAACAACTGTTGAAAATTAGGTACAGTACCATATTCTGTAATGACCTTCGATACACGGGACTCGACTGATTTGTCAGCAAACTCCTATGTTCAATTATTATTGCCTTTTCCATTCGATGCCGTGATATGTGCGATGAATACAAAGCCTGTCAGAAAGCTGAAAAACTAGCCATGCTTAACTATCGCTACCAGAATTCACATGCTCGTGGTAGGTTACGTAGTGGATTGCCAGACACTGGAATTACAAGTGGAGCCGCTAGAACAGGTCAAGGAGGAGTTGAAGTAAACTTTTTCTCACATCGAGCTCTTGGTGAACAAGATTCTAACCTTTTCTATCCACCAATCAAAGCCTCAAGACCCATTTTTGTTTTGAACTGAAACATGTCCACGAGTGTATTTTCATCCTTGTCCACGAGGTAAATCACCGTTTGGAGCTGCTTCTTCAATTCTGGCTTTACCTCGGTCACATGTTCCTGCTGCTGCTGTCACCAATAATTTTCCCAGTGATGAAGATGATTCATTGAATGCAAGTATTATTGAAGAAAGTCGAGTCCATGGAGCCAATGGTAATGGAGAGATTGGATCCAAAGGAATTATTCCTGACTCATCTGATAATCATCATAATCATCATAACCAGTGTACTTGCGTTGAACCTCGAGCTAATGGATTTGATTCGGAAGCTGTTAATAATGCTGCTTCTTCATCTGGTCAACCATCTGGTCGTCATCATCATAATCATCACCACATTCATCATCAGCATCATGGCCAACAGACAAATTCGCAACAATCAGGGGAAACGCAGCCACAACCAACACCATCTTCATCAACATGCACATAAGCACAAACAAATGTTGAACAATGGCCAAACAAGCGGGGAAAACGAAAAATCATTTAATCCAAGTTGGCTTCAATCGTCAATAATTGTAGATGAGCTCCACCGGAAACATTCTCAATTGGTTCGAGAGAATGCAAAAAGTCCTAAAACTCGTAACTCTGACGATCAAAGATACATTTTCTGGTCCGAAAATCAAGATAGATTAATTTAAGCTTTTGACACTTTTTTGGCCAAAACAAAATCACTTTCGAGGATTTAGTGATTTAGATATGTATTCATGTAATTCAGGTTGCCTGGTCTCATATTTGTAATAACAACAAAGAAATACCCAAATGGCATGAAAATTAGGTTAATCGCGTTTCGACTTTTTTAACCATGTTCCAGATAACCTTCTCAGGTCAATCGATTGTGGAGAAATTAGATTTTTCTCTTAGCTTTAACTTCTTCATCAACATCAGAAACTTTACAAGTCTATTTTGTTTTCTTGCTACTAGACGTAAACACAAACTGGAACTGAAGCTGGTTAGTTAGTTTAAGAATCAACAGAAGGAAGCACAAGCAATGATTCTTGGTTCATTTATATTCTTGCTGTTTGTTCAAAAATAGACCAGCAGATGGAAGCAGATACCAAACGAATACAAAAATCGATAAAAATTTTGAAAGTTTCGACTGAACGAGAAATTATCTCGTTAATATTATAATTGATGGAAGTTCGATAAGTTTTTGAAAAAAATTCCTAAGATGAAGCATTTGTGACAAAAGTTGGCCCTAAATCGGTTCAACTGCAACACCTAAATACCTGAGTTGAGTAAAGTCATGAAAAGACAATATTGTTGATCCAATAATACAAGTTACTATATTGTGTTTGGACCAATGGGAAGAGTCTATCAACATGCCTCAAATATCATTGGCTCTTATTCGCGCATCTTTCTTGTCTCACTCATAATGTTTTAAAATTGTACATAAACTCGAAAATTGTCAACCTCGATTAGCTAGTGTTACTTTTTCCTCTTGTATGTAATCAGTTGAACAGTTTTGTTTAGCAAAAGATAAAAGTTGTAAAGTTTTCTTGAAATGGACAGTTCATCACCAACAAGTCCAAATCCTTCAGCATTGTTGCTTCGATCAGCAGCCGAGCGTTACCAGCGAACACCAAAGTGTGCTCGATGTCGAAACCATGGAGTTGTATCAGCATTAAAGGTAATTATTGCCAATTAAATGTATACCAAATAAATGCTCATTTAACGCCTTTCCAGGGCCACAAACGTTACTGTCGATGGAAGGATTGCTCTTGTGCTAAGTGTACCCTGATTGCGGAACGACAACGAGTCATGGCTGCTCAAGTCGCCCTTCGTCGGCAACAAGCTCAAGAAGAAAATGAAGCTCGAGAATTGTCAATGTTGTACGGTTGCCATGAAGGCATCATGGCCATGCATCGCGCTGGATTAACCTTTTCAGCAGCAATGGCTCAGATCATCCAAGTCCCATCAAATGGTGAGTAAAACATATCAACATTTAAGTTTCAAATCTTCTCGATTTACGAGATTTTCATATCCGAGATCTTTTCATAAATATTTCAAATGAAACATTCATTTTTTGATGAACAAAATTTTGCCAAACAAATTCAACCTCAAAAGTGAATGCTGCATAATGTAAAGGAAAAAATTGGTTTCGACTTTTTTTTCTACTCAAACTTTTCATCTCAATTATCATCATTCAATAGTTTATTACCTAAACATTTAGTTAATATAATAGCAACATTAAAAGAGTCAAGTTTTACCATAAAACGAGAAACTCAATGAAATGATCTTTACATTTCAGCTTGTTTAATTGCAAGATTTGCCAAAGTATTTTGCAAAAACAAAGAGTCACAAGTCGATTCGATGTTTCCTTGATATTTGCATAAATGAATCCATTTACCCAACAATTGAACGGCAACACAATAACAATCATAGCTTAACCTAGTCGATTGTGTGCACATTAAGTACATATTTGTACACGGTAAAGAAGAGGCAAGGAAAACATTTATTTGTCAAAATATTGAAAAGTTGAAAGCAATGAGAATATTTTATCAAGTCGACTGCTCAAAATAACCGGAAATTGTTGAAAAGTTATAGTAAAAAACTCTTGACTTTTTTTTCCTTTTTTTATTTCAATTTTGATCACACAGATAAAGAGACGATGTCGCTAGAGAGGAAAAACAAAAAACGGAAAAACTATTTTCGCCTTTTTCTTGAAAAATTTTTCAACATTTTCTGTCTCAAACGTAAACGCAAACACACACAATGATTATCCCATTTGTTCCCAGTGAAAGGGTCAATCGTTTAACTGTAGTTAAGCTGTTTAGTAGACAGTTTTAGTTACAGTTGAGGCAACAAAGTGAATGGATTGGAGGGCAGAAAAAAAAGAGATTCAAATTAATATTAACTTAATTGACTTATTCTTGTGATGCTTTTTGTCGCTCCTTCACTATTGTAATTCATCTCATGATACTAATAATATTAATAAAAAGTTACCGTCTTTATAATCGAAAGAAAAGTAACTTTCTTTTAACCTTTTAAATGTCGAGTTTGGCTCTATTGTAAAGAGTAGAGTAAAAAAGATGAACAGAATTGACGCAAAAAAAAGCCTAGCATCGAGTAAAGAAGCGTAAAAACATGGACTTTTGTTGTTCAGCTCGTCTTGGCGGTTCAATGAGTTAACATTCAACAGTAAATTTGGCCCTTTTGGCCGACCTGTTAATAGTATTAAAAAGATTCCCGGATAAGATTGAAACTATTGTTAACAAGGTAACTCTTAATTGAGCCTTTAACCAACCTTTCAATGTTCAACAAAATATCTTATCTATTTATAAAGATTTAACCTTTATTTTTCTTCTTCTTCTTGTTCATCTTCTTTTGGCCCATTATTGTCATTATCATCGTTTAGCCAGTGTGCTTGGCTCATTTGAGCACACACAAGTAGACACATTTGTCCAATAATGATGATGATAATAATAGTAATGGATAAAAAAAAAGTTATCCAGACAAAAGTTATCACTCCCTTTTCAATGTTATTTTGTCAAATCAAGACGTCGTAATATAACAATAATGTAAATGTTGATAATAGAAAGTAGCTCAAGTATTATGTTGATCAATATAAGGGTAACATCATCATTATGCAGTTTGGCACCACACACAGCTCGCTAGTTACCTGCAAACTCACAGGTTGAAATGTTGAAAAGAAAACTTTTCTTTCTTTTTTTTCTTCGCTTGTTCACCATGTCAACAGTTTCGCCGTCTCTTGCTGGTCCTTTCCTTGTTATATTAAATGTATAAACTTGCATTGTAACAGAATGAGAGAGAACAAGAAAAAACGTTGCTTCGCATTGTCATTAAACTTGGCCGATGCTTTTAAAAGTTGCTTCTGTTTTTTTTTCTTGTCGTCAAAATGTTTGCACTTTTACGTTTGTGCTATTGAAATATGCAACAGAGTGAAACTAAATTGATCAAAAGTATACTCTTATTATGTGCACATTGCATCAATTTTTGTCGACACTCTGTTGGAAGCGCTTTCCATTTTGAATCAATTTGTTTACAATCGGAAAGGACGTCAATTTGGAAATATTTCAATCAACATTCAAAGTTGAGTTTTTGATTCTTTTGTGTAAGACAAATGAAACAAAATTATCGTGTTCACAATTTAAGAAGTAAGGAAATTCGGTAAATGCTTATATGAACTAAAAGCGAGTCTGAGATTAGTTAGAAATGTGAAAAATAGAACAAGAATAATTTCGATTGTTTCTGCAA